AGGCCAACGAGTTGATTGAGATTCTGCGCGAATCCAACCAAACGGTTAGTCCACAGCTCTTAGAAATGGCCGAAATGTCGAGGAATACCAAAGATGTTCACAAACGGCGCCGCTTTGGGACTCCGGGGTATTCGCAACAGAGTTATCCCCGATCCTATCAAAGCAATAACAGAGGCTATGGCCAAAGGAGTCAATTCAACAACAGATACGATGGACAACAGCGTAGAGATGATTACCAGTCCTTCTATGGATCCGATTCTCATGACGCCTATGACTCGCGTCAGACATCCGATTATGGATCCAACAGTCGGTCCAACTATAGAGCCAACTACCGGTCCAATGACTCCAATTATGGCAACTCTTATGGCTCTAGTCGTAACAATTACGGATCCGGAGGTTCCTATGACCCGGACTATTGACACGACACTCAGTTTAATATATATTATTAATGTTTAGTTTAGTGTTGTTTTCAAATTATTTATAATTCTATAAAACTTTTACTAAATTGTATTATAAGTCAAAGTCACATAAAACTGTAGTTATTCTTGAATTTCATACGAAATACTTATTTTTATGACAAATATTGTATTTAAAAACCAATAATAAAAGTTTAGAAAAACCCAAATTTGGCTCAAAAATGATTTGCAAGTATTTGAATCATTAGATAAGATGTCGATCCGATATAAGACTATATAAGACTAATGAAGTGGAAGTTTATAATCATTTGTAATACGAGTGAATAAAAGTGATAAACTCTACGATAACTGTAAAACTAATTGAAAAGTTAGTGTAATATTCAAGCAAAAGGGTGTCTGAGGTGAGCGCCTACTAGTGGTGAGAGTGTGTCAGTAGTACTGTCTGTGAATGCATTGAATCTATGGTGTGTTGAAGAGTCGACCAAAATGTTAGGTATTTATCGGAAAGCGTGTAAATCACTGATTCTGGGCTCCAAACCACTGGTGTCTGTGGCCACACAATCACCACATAAACTCATTCCAGTGATATCTGCCGCAAGTGAGTAGCCATTGATGATTAAAACCCCGGTTAAAGCCGATTAACTGCCGGCCCTCTCACACATAGACTCCATTTGTATCACTTATGCACTTGTATTACATTTTTTGTTCAACACTTAGCATTGATTTGTACGACAAATGTCTACAAAACATGTCTAACCTGTGATCCGAAGGACACTAAAAGGACATGAATTTATCATTTAATTGATTTGTTTGTCGTTTGTATGACATCTTCACACAAATCTTAAGCTAATTATCAGTTGATTTGATTTCATAAATGCATGATTTAATGCAAACCATGGCGTGAACGGACACAATACTGTTATCTATAAATAGCACCCATTATTGCCATTACATTGGCATTGATATGAATATTGAGTTCTTGAGATGAGATCTAATCTAATATGACATGGATTTGAATGCAATGAACAGATCAGAAGCGATGGGCCGCCACTCAGCCCAAGACGGCCAGTACTGTGAAGAACGGACGTATAGTGGCCGTCATCGGAGCCGTAGTGGACGTCCAGTTTGATGAAGAACTGCCACCCATTCTGAATGCCTTGGAAGTGGTCGGACGTAAGCCGAGGCTTGTCTTAGAAGTGGCCCAACATTTGGGCGAAAAGACTGTGCGAACGATCGCTATGGACGGCACGGAAGGTCTGGTCCGCGGCAATGAAGTGATGGACACGAATTCGCCGATTAGTATACCCGTCGGACCCGAGACTTTGGGCCGTATTATGAATGTCATCGGAGAACCCATTGACGAGAGGTTTGTGTCCATTGTCTCACTCTTACTGCTAATCATCTCTATTAATGGTATGAATTGTGTGTATCAGAGGTCCCATCGACACGACAAAGCGTGCGTCCATTCACGCCGAAGCGCCCGAATTCGTGGACATGAGTGTCGAGGCGGAGATCCTGGTGACGGGCATCAAAGTGGTAGATCTGTTGGCCCCCTATTCAAAGGGCGGTAAGATTGGTCTGTTCGGAGGGGCGGGTGTGGGCAAGACTGTGCTCATTATGGAGCTGATCAATAACGTGGCCCGCGCTCACGGAGGATACTCTGTGTTCGCCGGTGTCGGCGAACGCACTCGAGAGGGCAATGACTTGTACCACGAGATGATCACTGGAGGTGTCATTAGTCTTAAAGATAAGTCATCGAAGGTGGCGCTGGTCTACGGACAGATGAACGAGCCTCCCGGGGCCAGAGCTCGTGTAGCGCTCAGTGGTCTGACTGTCGCCGAGTACTTCCGTGACCAGGAAGGACAGGATGTACTGCTGTTCATCGACAACATCTTCAGGTTCACTCAGGCCGGCTCTGAAGTGTCTGCCCTTTTGGGTCGTATCCCATCCGCTGTGGGATATCAGCCAACTCTGGCCACAGACATGGGACAGATGCAGGAGCGCATCACCACCACTAAGAAAGGGTCGATCACATCAGTGCAGGCTATTTACGTACCGGCAGACGACTTGACAGATCCCGCGCCGGCCACCACTTTCGCCCATTTGGACGCCACCACTGTATTGTCGAGAGGTATCGCCGAATTGGGGATCTACCCGGCCGTCGACCCCCTCGACTCCACCTCTCGTATTATGGACCCCAATGTTGTGGGCGCTGAGCACTACAACGTCGCCCGAGGCGTCCAGAAAATACTTCAGGTTTGCTCTCGCATTGGGTTTACGTTTTCGTAATTGATTTATAACTGAAATGTTTGTCCCAAACAGGACTACAAATCACTTCAAGACATTATCGCCATCTTAGGTATGGATGAGTTGTCCGAAGACGACAAGCTGACGGTCTCGAGGGCTCGTAAGATCCAGAAATTCCTCTCTCAGCCCTTCCAAGTGGCCGAAGTGTTCACAGGACAGGCAGGAAAGTTCGTGCCCCTCGACCAGACCATCAAAGGTTTCAAAGCTATTCTTAACGGAGAGTACGACCACGTGCCCGAAGTAGCCTTTTATATGGTGGGCCCCATCGAGGAGGTGGTCGAAAAGGCCGAAAAATTAGCGAAAGAACTTGAAAACTAAATGCATTTTATTATTAACTAAATAATTGCCGCGGTTTTAAATTTTCCAATTATATTACTTTCGACTCAAAATTATTGAAATTAGAATTTTTCTTTAAGAGATCTTATATTTAATGTTAATTTAAATTTCTAATCATTAGAAGTGGTCATAGAATGTAATAATTGTATAATTCAATCAATTAAACGCTCAGTTGTTTACTTTTCAAGTATTATTTCAATGAACACCACTTACAGTACACTAGCCCTGAGGGATGACATGCCATAAGGACTCCAAAGTGAATCCGTCTTTGATCTTCTCGATGGCTAAACCCAATTGAGGACAATAGACGACATCATTGGTCTTAGTCTGCAATTCGTCGGCCAAATAGGCGGCGATGGCATCGCTTTGATGGGCGCTGTGGTGTTCATCGATCTCCTTGTGATCGGTCTCTACCGTTACGACTGCAGAGTTGGCATCGATTTCGTTGAAAGCCAGTCCAGAGCCGCCCTCCAGATAGCTCTCGACCCCTAAGTCGGGTTGAGTGGAGTGAATGGCAAAGAGATTGCAGAGTTCACTGTAGACGGCGTTGAGTCTGTCGGGCGGGTCTATACGGAAGCCGAGGACATAACCGCCGCTGCTTTCGGTCGACTCTATGACCAAAGCGACGCCGAACTTACTTTCCCTCACTTTGATTGTATTGATTTGAATGTACGGCAGAGAGATGTTGAAGAGTTCATTCATGTTTGCGTGCCATACGACCCGCACATTGGTCAGGTGCATAGTGCCCAGATTGCCCTGGTCACTCGACAGGTTCCACACGCCGTTAATCTTGTTGTAAATACTCTCCGACTGGAGAACTTTCAACTGTTTGCCGTTGGATGTGATGACCGCCGACCGGAGTTTGAGGTCTCGGAAGAGTTTGGTGGACGAGTAGGCCCGACATATTTTGCTGATCAGCTCAACCATCCCGTACTGAGTGCCCAATTCTGACTCCAATTGTGTGAATATGAACTCATATCGAGTTCCGTTCACTTTTGTCATGATATATAACGCCTCGTGTTTTCCACGAAGTTTTGTGTGAATCGTGCGGTTCGTCAGACTGGAGACACATCCCAAACCGACAGACAGATTGATTCGCGGCTTAACTTTTGACTGCCATATCATTCGCAGATTAGTTATAGTGATCTTTCCCTCCTCTCCGGAGTTGCCTTTCGTGTCCTCCACTTTCGTGAAGTACTCCACAATTCGTTCACCATTTCTGAACTTAAGCTCATTTAAGGGGACGTCAAAACGGACGTCCCGGTCCTGCCATAACGGCTCTGTCTTCTCGCCCTTTGAACTCATATTGTATTATATTTTTGCCAAAACTAATGGCAAAACTATGATATTCTTGTCAACTGTTTTGCAATCGATATGTTTTGTTGATTTTTGAGTTATTATAGCAACGCATTCACACTTTGTTACTCTAATAAATGAATTCATGTTTTATTTTAGTGTTAATGTAATTATATTTATGATATGATTTGTAATAAAAAAACAGAATAAAAATAAATTATATTAAATAGTTACAAAAGAATATTTTAGTCAACTATTAAAATTCTTATATCAGTAATAAGTTATCAATTATAAGTTATTGATATATTTATCAATCATTAACTCTGACTGAATGTAACGGTAGTTGTTCTCAATGGTTGTGTGGATTCATCGCCAGAATCTACTGGTTTTGATTTTTTAAACTCATATTTAGTTTTGGGTCCGATGTCCACAATATCTTTGGGTCTGAATTAAATATCAATTATAAATCAATTCATACAGGTTTCATTTATAAATTTTGTATACTCACTTTTGTCCATATTTTCTGACTAATATAAGGAATAATACCCATAATATTAAGCAAATGGCACCGGTAACTATATAGGCATAGCCTAGAAATGGATTTTTGCCCCCAAGCCATGAAGTGTTAGAAATATAGATGTATTTATCGGCATTATATTTGTCAAACACTACGGGATAATCTGTGTAATATATAAATTGTAAAAATGTTTTATAAATTCTTAATAAGAAAAATATAAATAAACAGAACTGTATTGTATTTTCAGCTGATATTTCCTTTTGGGTAATGAAATCCTCCACAGAATATTCTGGTCGTGATCTATACGCGCCCATAGCTTTCGGAACGTAGGAAGGGCTGCCGTTCGCATCCAAACCATAAGGTGCTCGTTATCGAAGCCATTATTGCTTGGATTGGTGTGATCTAGGTCATCGATGTTTTTTGTCCAATAAGGCGGGTGTCCCATTCCCGGATCCCATTCTTTAGGATTATTAAATTTATATCTCTTGTCTGTGGGCCACGCGATATGTGTTTGCACCAAATCTACCGGTTCCCACATGTGATCATCGGTCTCATAATATAGTCTAAAAGTGTCGTTGAATAGTGAGTTAGCGATGGCACCGCACGGCACTATTGTCCGACCGTTTACATCCTTACGATATGGATCACAATCTGCACTCAAATCTTCGGCTTTGGCCCTCGGGTTCTTTCCCGTCAGTTGCGAGTCGTCCCGAGACTTGGCATACCGTCTGTGGTTCTGATAGTAACCATTGAGTCCATAGTAGAAGAATACCGGAGCCTTAAAATCCTCAGAGAGTGTTATATTGATTTGACACTCGCACTTGGATCTCTTTCTAGGATTTTTGATCAGATCCATACATTTACTGGATGATCCATGAGCTTTGCAATCCGTGTAATCATAACTAATTTCTTGGACCTTAACATGAAAATTAATCAAATTAATAATAAATAATTAATTAATTAAATTATATTTGATTGTAAATAATAACTGAATTATAAGTGATATCTCACGGAATTAGATGAGAGAAGGAGTCCGATTCCGATCGGTATTAGAGCGATGCCTAACAGGAAGAATGCGGGCAATACTGTGTCGGCCGTTAGGATTGGCTTTTGTTTCATTAGGTATTCATTAAAAATTAATTAATAATATAAAAATGTAATCATTATTTGAAACTAACCTGCCAGGCCGGTAATCTTTGTTGTTTCCAGTCCGCGCCTGTTTTCAAACAAATTTTATTAAATTTAATTTAACCAAAATGTTTGTTTTATATTTAAATATTTAAAAGTAACAGAATATCTATTAATTTCCATAAGTTTATAATAAACTTGTATTCAATATATAGCTATAATTTATAAACACAATTAATTTACATATAAATTCATTTTTTAATATTCTCTATAATTTATTGTCTATAAATCATTGCTTTCATTGTTAGGCAATACTTTTACTCATTATATTTGAAACTTAATAAACATATAGTTTTCGCTTCACATCACCTGAAGGGCGGTTCGACTCCTTTTCCTTCTCTTCTTTATCGTCAACTTCCTGTCCATTAGAGTGGGAACTGCTGGCTATCTTCGGGTCGACGATTTCTACGGAGGCGTCCAATGCCTGTAATGCCTCGTCTTCAGCACTGGAAGTGCCGGCCGTGTAATTCACTTCAGCCATGAGTTGTTAATGATTTCATATGAATTGTGCTCTTATTAGCACATAATATGAGCATTTATTGACAGAACTTATCACAGAATAGGTTTAGTAATGCCAGAGATAAACCATTAAAGCTCCTAGCAATTCATAGCATCATATCAATCACCATAACTATAGACAACCCAATTGTGATTCAAAAAACTTATTGTCTATTTTGAAAGCAATATTTTGCTTCGTGTTTATTATGTAAACGTTTGGCAAAAATAATAAATAAACTGTTAATTGCTTTTAAATAAGTATTAAATTTCACGCAATTCTTGACAGAGTTTTTCGCAGGAAATCATACGGATGTGAAGTAAATCAATGATTTTTTTGACAAAATAAATCATTTTATTTTTCAAAGACATATCTTTAACATAAAAATAATTACATTTTTATTTTAAAAAATTAAAAACATTTTACTTTATATTACATAAAAAATTATAGTTTCACATGTATTTGTCAAATCATAAATGGCTTTAAATTAATATATTGATAATAATTTAATATTTTATTCGTTGAATTCGTATAATATATTGTAATTTGTTTTATTGAATGACTAGTACTGTACTGAGAATAAAAACTTCAAATTCATTTCAAATCTCGCATTTTGTTCACAAACTTTGAATAATTAATAAAAATAAAATCCAATAAATTAATCACTCTTTTCAGTAACACTGGGGAAGTGAATGACACACAACTGTTTGCCGTAATCGCAGACTACGGCACGACTTTGAGACGATATCTTCAGGTTCTTGATATAGTTTTGTTTATCGCAATTGGCGTCCAATTCAATGATTCTAATGGCTATGGCTTCCGATATGTCAAACAAAACTAAGTGATCCTCTCTGGCCGTCACCAGTATGTTAGGCGTCAGTAAAAGCAGTTCCTTACAGAAGCTGTGGTGCTATTCATTGACATCATAATTAAATTAAAACTCATTTAACCTTTAAAAGCATTTAACTTACATTTTGAATGCAATGAACCAAATGACCTAAAAAATCAAATAATTGCAAAATGAATACAAATTAAATTTCAAGATCATATATAAGGGTACTGTACCAGAATATTTATCCCAAATACAGATTCTGTTGTCAGTTCCTGAACTGATAAAATAGAGTGGAGTGGCTATGAGTGCCGTCACTGATGCGTCCATATGTGCTTCTAAGCTGAAGACACAGGTGCCGGTCATGACATCCCATACGCACACCTGTCCCACTTGACAGCCACTGATTGCAGTGGATGGCGAATACTGTGGCAAATAGACATTAAATGAATACTAACAAAACGAGAGCATTTGGCTGTTAATTACTTGGTCGATATGAATGGCAGTTATTCCGCCACAATGTCCGTGAAGTGTGAACAGACAGTTAGCGGTGTCCGTGCGGTAGACCTTCAATAAGTGGTCCAAACCGCCGGTTATAACGTTTGAGGATTCAATTTGGAGAGCAGTGATTGGCTGCAAGTGAGCGCGAATTGAATGCATCAGATTATAGCGAATCACTTGGCCTTTGGCCGGATGCGGACACGACTGGGAAGTGCTCGAAGAGATGCTGACACTAAAGCCATTGATAATTTCCAAATTGAATATCTCGAGGGTTCCGTTAAGTCTGGCGACCACTAGTTTGGTGTTCGTGGCCTTCAGTGCCGTCACACCACTCTTGTTGTCGTCGTAGAAGAAGCAGAGATTGCCGTTCAGTGCGTCCCACACCTCGAGTCGACCGCTTCTGCAGCCAATTATAACGAGTTTCCCGAATATGTCTGAACACCAAATGGGCTCAAATGGAAGACTCGATTCGGTCTTTAGGTTCACTGAGATCTCGTTCGGCGACACCTCTTCCGAGTTCACGACAGCGTTAAGTATTAATTCAGTCAAAAGGTTTTGTGAGGAGTAAGAGGTCTGTTGACTCAAATATGGCGAAAAATTATAGCCATCACTACTGCCGGCGCTGCCAGTCCTGTGAATGAGTGGCGATTGCTTTTCGGAGATTTGATTCAAATTATTATTCGGTATTTCAGTCAAGAAGTCGTTTGCATTTCCAGGCGATGAGCCGTACGTCGAGTCCGATGAGAAGCTTCCGCTCGGCTTATGTGTCGGTTGGAAGCGTTTGCGCACAACTGACTGCTCGCTGATAAAGCGCTTGATATACGTATGACACTCACCCGACAGGACGTCCCATACCCTCAAGTCCCCGTCCGTGCAGATCGACAGCACAAACGGTGTGTCGCTATTTGAGGCCAAGTGGTTGAGCTCTTGTTCGTGGTCTTGGAGTCGAATTGGATTGGTTTCGAAGTCAATGAAGTCATAACTCGAAACACCCTTTTTGATGGTCTGATTTTTGCCAAATTTCAGAGTTTGTGACCACGAGTCTCGCCATTCGGCGTAATTCCGAGAACACATACACCTATACATCAGCACAAACACGTATATAATAAATATAATACTCGGCACCGATAGGGCCACTGTTATGAAGATTTCAGCTGAACTCCACTGCATCGGAATGTGTGGAATTGAATCGGTGTTCAAACCGTTGAAATTGTCGTCTTTTTCGTCGTTCGGATCAATGGATTGAAGGCCAGGAGGAGAGAGAAATTGGCGAAAGATTTGTGGATCGCTTTCGGCAGGATTTCGGGTCTGGACGGTCGACTCGGGACTCACGGGAATGGAGAGTAGTATTGGCGGTAAAATTGTAATATAATTGCCGGACAGCGAGAGGTTATAGTAATTGAAAAGCGCTGACCAGTGCTGAGAGGACAACGATTTCCACAGATTTGGGTTGTGATGAACCAAACGATGCATTTGAGGCATGTCTGCAGTCGTATCAGAATTGTTGTCAAACTTGTCTTCGGTTTTAGACGACTTTTGGTTAATGTGTTCACTATTTAGTGCGCTTTTCGCTACAAATTGATTGTTTCGGGCATTTGGTGACTGAAAGAATGGGTTTCCAATGGAGTGCTGAGAATCACGACTCAAATTCTCGATAATCTCGAAATTGTAGACCAAAAAAGAGATCCAACCGATTAGGACTAACATGAGAGCCCTTTGCACTAAACGAGTTCGCGCCACAAAATACACAACTCGTAAACGTTTAGGCATTTTGAAGTGACTCGGTTTGGATGGCCGGGCGAATACATTCTGGCCATACGTCCGGTTACCAAATGTTAAACTAAATATATTGACATTTCATTTATTATCTGATATTTAAATATTTAGTAAATATAGTACCCATTGTCTGCCGACGAGTTATGTCTACTGTGTGTCTTCTGTGCGTTTGTGTGGCCATTGCTATTGACTTTGTTGTTGAGCTGTATTTATATAATTCAATATAAATTAATATTAAATAATTAATTAAATAAAATTGAATGCAATAAATGTTTGATTGAATGGAAAATATCAAAATGTAAATCAAAGGATTCCGAAATCAAGCTTAAAATAGTGGGAAACAGAGCACTAGTTTGTCCTTCATATCAATCAAACATTTGGCACCAAAAAAATTATGAGAAAATTGATAACAAATTTCAAGAGCATATGAAACGGACAAAAATAGATCAATTAAATGAAATAAAAACCTCTAGTCTTTGGATATCAATTGATAAAACGGTAGCAAAAAACGTAATCTGAATGAAGAAATCTGTGAGGAGTCCGACGGTTGCGAAAAGACATAACTTCTAAATACCGGTCATTGGAATTGAAAGACATTTTAGTAAAAACTAATAAAAAGTCTTAAAAAATAAATAAAAAGATAATTAAAAACCTGAATCATTGGAACAAACGTGAAGAAACCAAATGTCAAAAGTGTGATCTCAGTCATGAGATTTTTAGTGATAGACCAGCCCTCCCGGCTCAGGCCCTGCGCCACTCGCACTTTGATGTCCAGGTGTGCGGGTGTCGAAACAACAGACTTTGTCAGAACTAACATGTTTTCGAGACCTGTTTCACACAAATGTTTAGTTTAAATATAGATTCTAATGAATACACGAAAGACTAACCGATTATTATGACAATATACGGAAGAATATGAGTGGCATTTAGCGTGGGATTAAAGCCCAGTCGTAAACAGATGCCCAAAGACATCAGTAAAGACATGATGACAGTGAGCACAGAGCACAGGGCGAGCGCCCACTTATTCTTAATTAAATCGATTTTTCCTGAAATCAATTAAACGATTAAAACAACAATTTAAGTCTAAAAATACATTTCAAAACTTACGGACAGAGAAATACATGTAAAGAAAAAGCATGACATAAGTGGCCAAAAGGGGTACGAAATCAGAAAAAGTGAATTTGTTTTGAAAATAAATATGAGTGACAGTGGGCTCATCATCCTCTTGAGCACTGTCTTCATTGGCTGTTTGATTGTCATTTGGCGTCGGATTCAATGAATATTTCTCTTTCAAAAAAGCGGTCAAACCGTCGATATATTGTTGGCTTTGCGTCGACATGACTAAAGTGATGGCGAAAGTGATAGTCCTCTGTCGGGTGCGCACGTATAGCCTCTTGATGCCGGTCTCCATCCATGGAATGCCGAATAGAATATCACGAAGACTTCCAGAAGAATGAGGAGACGCGAGATCTTTGATTGAGTACATGGTCTTAACGATAGTGGAGTCCATTAAGAAGTTATTGATGTCGTTCTGCCATATGTTGGCCGGACTTAAGGCGAGACACGAATACATCGGCAGAAAAGACGCCGACTGTTTGTCAACCATTTTGGCGATCGGTTCCGATATTTGAAAGCAATAGTTATTCAGACTTTCGGCTCTTTCGCTGTAAAATCAGTGATAAGAATAAGTTTTTCACCACAAATCAAATCATATGAAAGAGTGTAATACTCGTTGAGGAACTGGTAGTTGGAAATGGTTTCCATGAGCTTAAAAGACTGCGAAAGAGGGGCCCGAATGGCGTCCATAAGAATTAGATTGTCTTTCCATGGGATCACTGAAGACTTGACAACTATTTGTTGTATAAAAGCAAACGATTGGTTCGTTTCAAACTGTAAGACAATGAACACACAAATCACTAAAAGTTATCAAACAAATGGTTTTGAAATAAGTACCCAATTGGGGATCGGATTCGTGTCACCACTTCTCTGGCCATCGATGCCTTCGGATGGAAATGTGTTGTCAATGGATGTGATAAACTTTTGTGAAGAATTGCCCAAAAGATAGCGAATGCCAGTCAATGGATAGCAACAGATGGAGACAATGATAAGAGTGGACACAATGACCACAACTGGATGTCGGGAACAGATGAGTCCGTATTTGTAGTAAGCATTGGACACATTGTCTTCAATGGTTTGCAGGAATTGTGACGAATTGGAGGACCAATTGGTGCGACCATTGCTTGTCGTCGACAACAGTGTCGTTGAGGACGAGGAGGAAGTCTTTCGTGAATTCATTTATAACGAGATAATCATTGGTCTGAAACTCATTCCCAACTGTTCTTCGCGGGACTCATCACTCGTCAAAGACATTCATTAGGCCCACAATTATCACCACAAATGACCACAATTTCGCACCAATTGGTGGACACAAGAGGTGCACAACATTAGGACACTTGACGTGAATCACAAGAAATGTGTCAAAAATAGTGATTATTATTATGAATGAGAAACTAATCAAACATTTGTTGATGTTTTCAATTGTCGTTAAGTTTTGGTGATTAATATGAAAACTGCTATTTTGGTGACAAAACTAAAATTAATTACAAAAATAAATGACTTGTAAATGAGATGTGGTTTTGTTGAACGCATTAAATCCTTGAGATAATGAAAATGTGATTAAAATATATGAATAAATAGTATTAATGATTATAACGAGAGATGAAAACTGCATTGAAATGATCGCTGAGACTGTCAGTCAGTCAATGGATTCACTGTTTGGCCGTTTGTATGCATTTTCTATGCGATTCACTGTAGGCTTGTATGTACTCAACGTGTGTTTCATGACTGCAACGCCTAATCAATACAACAATATTGTGGCAAACATTTCATACAAACACCACAAGCGTTGCCATCATTTGCACATCAATTATGACTCCATATTCACCACTCATCTCAACCCCTATCAGTCCCCCTTACAGTCAATTGGCGTTGTGTTGGTATTTATTAGTGATATTAATTATGAACGTAATTATGCGCTAACTTTACATAAGTTTTCACGTTTAACGGACTTTGATTGCAATTTGCAAAGTTATACAAAGTTATAAGACTCAAACTTTTTAAGCAAATAATTTTTAAGGTATTATTTAATACACATTGTCTTCAATGGTTTGCAGGAATTGTGACGAATTGGAGGACCAATTGGTGCGACCATTGCTTGTCGTCGACAACAGTGTCGTTGAGGACGAGGAGGAAGTCTTTCGTGAATTCATTTATAACAAGATAATCATTGGTCTGAAACTCATTCCCAACTGTTCTTCGCGGGACTCATCACTTGTCAAAGACATTCATTAGGCCCACAATTATCACCACAAATGACCACAATTTCGCACCAATTGGTGGACACAAGACGTGCACAACATTAGGACACTTGACGTGAATCACAAGAAATGTGTTTTGGTGTCAAAAATAGTGATTATTATTATGAATGAGAAACTAATCAAACATTTGTTGATGTTTTCAATTGTCGTGAAGTTTTTGTGATTAATATTTGGCAGTGAATATGAAAACTGCTATTTTGGTGACAAAACTATAGTTAATTACAAATATAAATGACTTTAAATGAGATGTGGTTTTGTTGAACGCATTAAATCCTTGAGATAATGAAAATGTGATTAAAATATATGAATAAATATATTAATGATTATAACGAGAGATCAAAACTGCATTCAAATGTGAGCTGAGACTGTCAGTCAGTCAATGGATTCACTGTTTGGCCGTTTGTATGCATTTTCTATGCGATTCACTCTAGGCTTGTATGCACTCAACGTGTGTGCAATGACTGCAACGCCTAATCAATACAACAATATTGTGGCAAACATTTCATACAAACACCACAAGCGTTGCCATCATTTGCACATCAATTATGACTCCATATTCACTACTCATCTCAACCCCTATCAGTCCCCCTTACAGTCAATTGGCGTTGTGTTGGTATTTATTAGTAATATTAATTATATTGCATTAATACGCGATTGAAATGTATTCAAAAGTGCAAATTGCCTGAAACTAACGTTAAACGTTTCAATATGTTTCAATATTCTGAGTTTGAAAAATTCGTTTATTAAAAATTCCATAATAAATTATGCATTACCAGTTTTGGTCTAATTTTCACACAGTATTTCAAGCAATAGTTTACTTTTTTATCAGCAAAAGTCATATATTTCCTTCACTTAATAGTTATAAAAGCGGATATTTTTGTACGCATTGTCTCGACATTCACTTTCTTTTGTAATACTTTTGCAAACTTATGACAAATTAATGTGTTTTTGTTTTGTAAGAAAGTTATGAAAGTGAAATTAAAATGTTACGAATATATGCACTGCAATGGTTTATTCAAAACTAATATTTCCTTATACTCTATGATCTCTCANTTGTACGCATTGTCTCGACATTCACTTTCTTTTGTAATACTTTTGCAAACTTATGACAAATTAATGTGTTTTTGTTTTGTAAGAAAGTTATGAAAGTGAAATTAAAATGTTACGAATATATGCACTGTTATTATTCAAAACTAATATTTCCTTATACTCTATGATCTCTCAGTCAAAACTTATTGACTTTTATTATTAAAACTCAAAACTTATTTTTATTTTTCAAACGATTTGAATAAAATTAATTTTATAATAGAATTATAGTATTTTATAAAGTTTATAAACAAATATCATTAGTTTTTATTATATTTAAAAATTTTCCCATTGAAATATAATTTCAAAAGAAATTACAATAGCTTATGATATTATTATTTATTCATAAATTTAAAGAAATGATATATAATTGAATATTTTGTCTGATTTTTTATAAAGTACCGTATACTTGAAATAAAAAATATAAATAAATTAAATGTATAAATGTTTGGTTAGTGTCTAGTAGTTGAGACGCTATGTTGAAAAATAATACTTGAATTTTAAGATAATTATATAAGAGTTGTCACACAAGTTGTCAAATATATTGATCACCGATAAGAATAAGTTGTGAATAAATTTCAATACAAATCTATGCATTCAATTGCATTCAATTACTATAACTTTCCTCTAATCAATGCTATTTTAGGGGAAATTTTTGATTTTAATTTAGAAATATAAAACATTATTGATAATCTATTTGGTAAGTAATTACATGTTTCCAATGACTAAACTATAGGTAACCTTCAGAATACATTAAGTTTAATGATTGAACCAACACTGAACCTAATATTAAGACTTAGGGTTTGTTTTAAAGCTATTTTTGAACTTAAATTTCATTTGAATGCCTTTCTAATGAATCCTTATTTCAGAGCAATGAATATCAAAATGAATGCCTTTTTTCAGTGCTATTTCACTACTTGTCCTTTGGATGGGATATCGTGTGAGGAATGAGATAAACACTACAAGAAAACAAGTAATGAAAGTTCAAAATTCCCAAATTCTCGTATTATTACTATAATGCTATACAACACACTATTATCACACAAACTAAATATTTTACTTGAGTTCAGTTATATGAACTTCAAAACTTTTAAACAAATCTCAACAAATTTATCACATTTTGCAAAATTATATTTCATTTGAAATATTTTCAGAAGTTTGAAATATGAATTTTAATTTTTATCTCAGCCTAATTAAATTCTATAATTAAAACTCAAAATTTTCAAGTAATATCAAGTATTTACTTTAAATTATAATTGACTTATTTCGACGTTTGATAAAATAATTATGAAAATGTTTTTGAAAAACTCAATTATAATATTCATATTGCGAGGCATTTACGAAACTATTTTTTGTAGCCAAAACATTTTTATAATTCAATATGTTATTAGATTTTCATATTTTCTAAATATTTTTATGGTTATAATATAAGTGCCAATTAATGTTCCCATAACACACTGTATGTAATGTCATTTAGAAATCGGGAAATTTTCCAGACATTGATTTTATTAGAAAATTGTGTTTTAATGTGAAAATAATGTGAAGATTAATTGTATTTATTTAGATATTATGTATTTATTGTAATTTAAGTGTAATGTTAACGTCAAATATTTTCTCAACTTATATCAAAAGCAATATTCTTAACAAATAATTTTCTAACTACAGTAATAGTTTGTGCAATAGTTTTTCCCAAATTATGTTATTATTGTGTCTAGTGTTTTAATGATTTGACTGATATAAACATTAAATTGATTAATTTTACTGTACTGTACATGTCTATTTGAACATTATTAAAGATTTTTCAAAGTCCCATTTGAAATGACTGAATGATATTTTTAAAAGTAAATATATAACTATAAATATATTAACTAATTAGATAAGTAGTTTATAATTTATAATATTGAAACGTTTAAATGTTTTAATTTCTTAATCCATATGTAACTCCATGTTACATCATATGTAACTTGATGTAATCCAGTATTACACCAATAAATTGTCAAGATACAATAAATTGCGTTAAAAACGTAACTTCAAGACCACTTGTTTAAACTGTTATGTCATGTCATTAATAAAATATTTACTTTTGAAATTTGTCTTTAATTTGTAACAATAAGAATTAGTTCTAAACACAAATGAATTGATATTTTTCAAAATATATTTAATTGACATCAAATGAAAAATATTTAAACAAATTTCATGTGCAAATAAACTTTTATAGTATGAAGTTTTGATATATTTAAGAATTTATAATTGACTGAAACGATTCTGTATAAATGCATGCAAATGTTGAATATATAATAATACAGTATTATTAATAATAATTTATTATAAATGTATTTAAATTTTGTATTTAATGAGATTTAAAAGTAGTCTTACATAAACCAATAATTAATCTACTTTGTTTATAGCAAATTTATAACTAAAATTAAATTAAATTTATAAAACTACAGATTCTGTTATACAGTATTAAAATTATACTGTATTTATATTTGTATTTGAATACTGAATTCATTACATAATTTAATTGCATTTAATGAAAACTTTATTTCGCAAATTATTTAGAAATTAAATTAAGTAGCATATAATTATAAAAAGTCAATCATAACTAATGCCCAATCGAAATTCGAATTTACTTTTCAATAAAAATAACAGATAACTTACTCTCCTTTCTTAGAACCTCGAAATAAATCACCGAACATTAACTTCCTGTTATTGAAACTTTTTAAAAAAAATCATTGACGCAAACACAGACGACAGCAAAAATCACAAATTATTAACTGAATTAGTGTTAAAGTCGACAGGGATTCACATTTTAATCACAGTATTGTACTGTACTATCTAAACAATGCTAAACATACATGTATTATTTATTGTCATTTATTGTGTTTTTAAGATTAATAGAAATTACAATATTCAATAATAAATTATACTTGCAGGTAAATATAAATTATAAAAATATTCAATATCTAAAAATAAATACTCGTAAATATATTATTGTGGGTAAAAAATAAAATA